TCCATCTTCAGTCTCACATTGTCTTCCAGTAGGAAAACTTGTCGGCAAAACCTACGTGACGCCGTAACTTTGAATTCCCTTAATGACACTAGGAGTCAGAAAGCTGTTTAACTTGTTGATGTTGTGAGGGGTTGAAATCACACGGGCTTTTGATTAAGATAATTTTGATGATTTTTTTTTTTATTTATGTAGTTACCCATTTTGTATAAAACATTTGTTAATTTCCAATTGACTTGGTAGTCAAAATCTCTCATATCAAGCAAAATGGCATTGTTGGTGTTTCGTGTTTAGTGCCTTTTTATGTTCAGAAACTCTTGTGTCCACACTTATTCTAGTGTTACCTAAATAAACTTTCTCATAGGACTGGCATGGCATGATATAAATTCATTATCTTTAATTTTCAGATGGTGTATATTTGAAGTTAGATTATTTTTAATGGTGTTCATATATCTGTCTGTATGTGTTTGTTACTCTTCCTTAACATTTGCTAAAGAGGTTCAATATTTGTGTTGTAGCCAATATAAAGTGGTTTCACGTTATCATTGGTTGGTGTTTCTTTGTCTTCATAAAACAAGGTTTTTCTTGCTCAAAGATGGCAATTTATAATAAAATGTTGTGGAAAATGAAGTTCTTTGAAAATAGAAAATTGACGGGTGGCATAATCTGTAGACTCGAAGAAAAAAAGAGGAAATGATAGATGTTTTAAAACATTTATTGTGGCGTCAAAAGAAGTGAATATAACTTAAAGAATTGGTCGGTTTCAGACATGCAGATTCTATGTTTTCTAGTTATCAAAATATCCAAAATAGGAAGTTTCACATCTTTTTCCCCATTCAGTTTTAAATTGTATAGTTGGGTGAAAGTAATTAACCCTTCGTTTGCGGCTTATGTGAATCTGCCTACCACCCCATGCGAAAGATTCCCGAATATTTGCAGCGGGCCATTCAAAATGTTGCGCGCAAAATACTTGCATCATATTATGTCAACCGCAGTCGCCTACGCTAACATCATACTATGTCAACCGCAGTCGCCTACGCTAACATCATATGATGTCAACAGCAGTTGAAGGGTTAAGGTTGTTGAAAAACTTTCAAAATCCCTTCTTTGGCAACATAGAAAATATATCGTCAACATAGATGAAACATATAATTTCTGAAAAGCTTATATTTATGGAAGGAAGTGATTCACTTTCAAAATATTCCATGAAAACGTTCCAATATTGGTGTTTTGAAAGTGGATTATTTCATTTATATTATACCATGGCAATTTTGTGAGAAAGTTTATATAAGAGAAACTGGAAGAAATGTTGACACGAGAGTTTCTAAACATAAAAATAACATTAAATATGGAAACACAAACAATGTCATTTTTCTTCATATGAGAGAGACTGGCCATCAAATCAGTTGGAAATCAACAAGAATTTAACACAATACAGATAACTACATAAAAAAAGAACTGAAAGTTGTTTAATCAAAAGCCTGCCTAATTCCAACACTTCACAATGTCACTTTAAACAACAAAAAAAAACATATTATAACTATGTTCTTTAATTAATATGTTTTTACATCAACCAGTTCACTTCAAATCCTGTGTAATAGCAGTTAAATATAATGTTTCTTATTTAATAACAAACGTTAGGTGTACCCGTTGTGATTATTACTACCCATGTGTTGGTCATTCTTCATTCAATATAGAGGATGCTGTAACCTCCAGATACTATTTGCCCTACCAGCAAAGGACGCTGCAATCATCAACATTCTTGCACAAATTGCAGAATTACAGCAATATCTTCCATGGGTGAGGAGACATTATCTCTTGAGAAGAACAAAGGAATAGGTCTGGTTTGAATTTCGCGCAAAGCTACACGAGGGCTATCTGCGCTAGCCGTCCCTGATTTAGCAGTGAAAGACTAGAGGGAAGGCAGCTAGCACATCTAGCCCATTGCGTAACTTTGTTCTAAATATCAAACAAATTGTAACTTCTAGATAATAAAATGATATGTTCACCAGTGTATCAGCGGTAAATTTACGGACTTACAGCATCAAAATCCAAGGGTTCGATTCCCCGTGGTGGACAGAACACAGACAGTCTATTGTATAGCTTTGTGTTAAAACAAACAAATTGTTATCAGATTATAGAGACGCACAAAAAGAAAATCCCTTCACAAAAATTACCAGCGAACACACGCATCAACAAAATGCTCTTTAACAAAGAAAACTCACATTTTAAGAATAGTCCTTTAAAAAAGACCAAAAACATGAAGTGAAACCTTTTATCAAAGAAAATTGAATATATATATAAAAGTACTTTAATAATGTTTCTTTTTTTTTAAATTCATCAGAAACAAAACCCTTTAACATATATTTCATATTAAAAATAACTTTTATAGTGATCACTTACCTTCTTTCAGAGGTGGTAGTCGAAAACACTACGTGTAACATACAAAATTAAATGATACCCTTTGATATGGATCCACTTAAATCCTGCTCAACAGAGAAACAAAGTCTCTTCAGTAATGAAATACATATTACAAATCTTTGTAAGGGGAAATACAAAACGCTTTACAAATAATTATATGTAAATCTTAAATGCAATTCACACAAAATTATGTTATTAATAATACGAAGAATGAATCTTTAACACAGAGATAATAATATAATTACAATTAATCATAAAACGAAATGGTTAATAAATCAGTCCCAGAAGAAAATACTCAAAATCACATAAATTCATTAAAATGCAACAAAATAAACCCCTTTGAAGTTTAAGACTAGCTGTTTAAAAGTCTATTCTATATTAACAATGTTTAGGACTACCTGTTTAAAGTCTATTCTATATTAACAATGTTTAGGACTACCTGTTTAAAGTCTATTCTATATGACCAATGTTTAGGACTAGCTGTTTAAAGTTTATTCTATATTATTAACATTTTGGAGTAGCTTTTTAAAGTTTATTCTATATGACCAATGTTTAGGACTAGCTGTTTAAAGTCTATTCTATATGACTAACATTTTGGAGTAGCTGTTTGAAATTTACCGAAAATGTTTTTGTGATAGCGAGAAACTTTTATGGTGTGTTTCATTCTCATTAGTTTCTGAAATTACCATAACTACAGAGTTATTTTTTTAAAATAAATAAGTCAATATGTACATTATATATATATATATAATTTGAAAAATCATATTTCAAAGAATCTAATACGTAAAGAGAAGAATTATTAGGCCCATGTGCACAAAGCATTCGTTAAGCATATATGCATTATAAAACTCTGCTTTTATTAAGATATTTACTTTTTTACTAGGTTTGTCTAAAGGAAATTTTCCTCAAATAATTACAATTAAGATCTGTTATATATAGGAAAATCTAGTTACCACCAGCAGATGACGCTACATACTGAAAGTCCAAACTATATTTTGACGAAACCTGGACAGTGTAAGACGTATTGCAGAATTATGTATGTTGAAGCATCATCGAAAATAATAATTAAAAAACATAGCTTCTTAAACACTTCGATTGTCTTCATCATCACAAGTAAAGCAAAAATATAGAAGGTTTAGCTTCTGAATCTTGATGCTACATTAGCCTATATGCATGAAACTTCAAATTCGCATGTTCCATTTAGGGATCTTATTTCTCAGAATAATTTTACTTAAATGTCATCGTGATATCATGTTAATTTTTCATAGGATGTGTTTTGCTTATTGATAGATACGTTTCTAATCGATTAGATGACACATATTTTTGTTTTACTATTGGTAGTAAATGTATTAGAAAAATAAATAAAAGTTGAGAACAACCGAAAAAATATGCTTTGTATGAGAAATAGAATAATGATATATCAATAACTTGCACAGACGTGCGGCCTTAAAACATCGTATTAATTCACACTTAAACTTCACATATTTTCTTAAGCTGAAAATGTGTTTTGATACTTAAAAAAGCCTTCTTCGGTGGTTTAGCGGTAGGTCAATGGACTTATAACGCTAAAAATCGGGTTTCGATACTCTTGAAGGGCAAAGCATAGATAAGTCATTGTATAGTTCTGTGCTTTACAACAAACAAACAAAAAACACCTTTCTTTAACAAATATATTTTAATATTTGTGGCAAATCATTGGTAAGCTTATATTTTACTGATATAAATTGAATGTGTAATATTTCATATATATATATATATGTATAACCAAAATTGTTTGTTTGTAATTAAGCACAAAGCTACACAATGGGCCATCTGTGCTCTGCCCAACCACGGGTATCGAAACCCGGATTCTAGCGTTGTAAGTCCGCAGACATACCGCTGTGCCACTGGGGGCAAATACAAATACATTTCACTTGTAGATGCGAATAACAAAACATTATGTATGTGTGTATGTAAACAAAACAAAACAAAAAATGTCGAATACAGTTCGAATTCTGTTTTTCTATAGTGATATATTCCAGTCACTAATATAACCAGTTTAACAACTTAGAATTAACACTTAAGCTACTATGCGAAACTTACTGATTAAATCTCAGCATGCATATAATGGTATTAACAATGCATGACGCAATGGAATATTTAACGAAAATATTATGATATAAGAGGTTTAGTTGGATACCTATCTAGAAACAAACTTTTTTCACAAAGAACCTGGTAAAATACAAAATAAGATTATGATTTATCGTTTTAGTTTTTTTTAAGCCGTGCTTTTATGGTCTGAAAAGTCTGTGCTCTTGACACTTACGTGTTTTCTTTAACTCTAAGTTTACTGTATGTTTTAACACAAGTATACCTTAAACTACATATATCATACTGTAACCTTTAATTTGTGCAAAACATACAGACGCTTGAATCCTTTTTAACTTTTAGTCACTACGAAAATAGAAACCGGGTTTCGATACCCCGTGGTCGGCAGAGCACAGATAGCCCTTGTGTAGCTTTGTGCATAATTAAACAAACAAACAGAACACTACGAAAAAGTTAAAATTTTAAACAAGTTAGACATGATTAATCTCCAAAAGATAGATCGTCTCTTAGGTTATACGGATGGTGGAACTAGACAGATGTAAATGGCAGGAAGAGAAATATGCAGGACTATGTCGGACCAACAAACATGGGATGATTTTCAATTGAAAATAGCCAGAAGACAGGAGGAGTATTTGATTCCCTTGAAAGAAGATTTGGCAGAGTGGATAGACAAAACATTAGGTGAGGTTTAGCAGTTATTTTTTTATTATATGCTTTAATTTGTTTCGTACCTGATAGTCTTTCCTTGAATCTACGTTTATATTTACAATACATATATATATACATACATATAATACACGCAAAAGGATTTTGGCCAAAATGAAAACTTAAATCATAAAGTTAGCTGTGCAGAATCTTTCGAAAAATACTTATAAGTAGTTATAATATGTAATGGAACCTTGCCAGGTTGAAACTCAATATGTTCTAACACATTTCAATACTTTTAATATAGATTATCTGTACGTTATAAAGTAGGATTATATTCACAAGTACGCCAACCTTCATTTAATTTCACGCAAAGTGACTTGAGGGCTATCTGTAATAACCATCCATAATTTATCCATGGCCAGGTGGTTAGGGCACTCGGCTCGCAATCTGCGGGTCGCGGGTTCGAATCCCCGTTCCACCAAACATGCTCGCCCTTTCAGCCGTGGGGGCGTTATAATGTGAGGGTCAATCCCACTATTCCTTGGTAAAAGAGTAGCCCAAGAGTTGGCGGTGGGTGGTGATGAGTAGCTGCCTTCCCCCTAGTCTTACACTGCTAAATTAGAGACGGCTAGCGCAGATAGTCCTCGTGTAGCTTTGCGCGAAATTCAAAACAAACAAACCATAATTTATCAGTGATTCACCCAACTCATTTACTAACGGATAGTGAGATTGACCGTCACTTATATTGGTAATGGGGATTTGCGAGTCTAACCATTAAGTCATGCTAGGTCCCTTCGTTTAGCATTTTGTGGTTATAATTTAATTAGATATCATAATCTGGTATCAAATTATTTCTTCATTAAGCTATTTAAACATATCTGAGACGTCGTTTTTAATAGTTTATCGTAGTAGCAAGAAGACAATGCAACGTCGTTTTTAATAGTTTATCGTAGTAGCAAGAAGACAATGCAACGTCGTTTTTAATAGTTTATCGTAGTAGTAAGAATACAAAGCAACGTCGTTTTTAACGATTTGCGGCAGCGAGAAGACAAAAATATGTCGTTTCTGATAGCTTATAGTGCAGCGAAAATATGACTTTAAAAACGTACAGTGGCAACGAGAATACAAAGCGTTATCATGTTCATAAAATATGACAAAACAATAATATAATAGGACAGTGAATGCCTGTGTGAAACTAATGTTTTTAAACTATGGAAAACCAGTCACCTTTAAAAAGATAAGCAGCTTGCATAGTCGTCACTTCCATATATCAAGTACTGCAGCATTGCTTCTAACATAATAGGTTTTGTTTGTTTCTAACACAAAACCACACAATGTGCTACCTGCGCTCTGTACACAGGGGGAATCGAACTCTGGACCTTAGCATTAGAAATCCTCAAACTCAGAGAGAAACATACTACTATTATAATATATATATTATACCATTCGGATTAATAATTGCTTGCTGTTTCTAAATGGAGAAAACGCGCAATTTCAAATGAATCGAATAAATCTATCTATACATTTAGCATTAAAATCCCAGCATGAGTGTATATTTTGTCTGAATTGTTAGATTCTTCCTTCATGATACACAACTTCTATAAGCTTTCACTTTTAAGCAAATACTCCACTCTGTGATACTATGCTCTGTATATTTTCTGCCTATGTTTTTCTGAGCATTGTACAATCTCATTAAGTAAATGATTGCCCTAATATTTTATTTGTTGGAATTGACAAAACTTATGTGACCGTCTGGTGTCTACTAAATTTACTTACCAGTACATTTTACATTGAAAACACTGCTATGGAAACGGCCTCGTTGAGCAAGCTCTACAACTACCTTAATCTCATTCCCAGTACCTTGACTGCTGGCTGGTATTATATGTACATGAACATTGCTATTTAAAAATCGATTTTGACTTTATGAAACTCTTTACAGACTTATCTTGCAGATGTTTTTATCACATTATTCCAGTAGCAATCATTCTATTGAAGTTATACTAGTAGGCCTAGTTTCACACTAACGATACGCTATGTACCAACTCAACCTTCAAATGCTTTTAATTTCGTCCGACTTAATATTATGTGATTACAAAATCTTTGGAAATAAATTCTCCCGTCATCTCTGCTGACTGCAAATTTAATTCTTTCTCGGCAGTAGTAACTATATCTACAAATGTGGTTCAATTATATTAAAAATGAAGATTCGTGGTACCTTTCAAAGTAACAGATATATTGTTACACAGCGGAAGTCACGTGACGCTAGTAACACGTCATTAGATTCTAGAAAAATCATGTCCATTCGTGAAGTCTCGAGTGTTCTCCAGACGCCCTCTATTTTGTATATATAAGACCGGCGAGAAGTGACAACACAGATATGAATAATTGCAGATTGAAGAGATAGAGACGGACAATTGAGTAAAGTGCGTGATTTGAATCGTTGTGAATTATAGCGTGTGTTTAAGTTAAAGTGACTGTGGAAATTAAGTGTATTTCAAAGTTGAACTGAGAAAAAATAAACTAGTTTTATTTAAGAAAGGACTTGTATCGCTGAAGTTTCTCGGAAATAATTTCTACGAGTAATTAACAAACGACCAAAGACGTAACAAATTGGTGTCAGAGAGTGGGATAAAAAAAAAAGAAGAAGAAAATGGAAACGAGAAGCGGCAAATCAAACTACAGCTTAGCAGATTTGATGGCAGCAATGCAAGAACACCAAAAGAAACAAGAAGAGAGATTACAGCAGCTGTTGGAGGAAAAGAAAAGAAACAAGAAGAGATATTACAGCAGCTGTTGGAGGAAAAAGAAAAGAAACGAGAAAAAAAACAAGAAGAGAGATTACAACAGTTGTTGGAGGAAAAGAAAAGAAACAAGAAGAACGAGAAAAAAAACAATAAGAGAGATTACAGCTGTGGCAAGAAAACCTGCAACAATGGCAGCTCGAACAGCAAAATAAACAAGAGAAATTACAGCAGTTGTTGGACGAAAAAGAAAAGAAACAATAAGAACGAGAAAAGAAAAAAAGAAGAGAGACTACAGCAGTGGTTGGAGGAGAAAGAAAATGAACAAGAAGAGAGACTACAGCAGTGGTTGGAGGAGAAAGAAAATAAACAAGAAAGTATCCAACAGTTGAGAGAAAGCCAGAGTACACAAATGGAAAACATTAGTTGTTGGAGGAAAAAGAAAAGAAACAAGAAGAACGAGAAAAGAAACGAGAAGAGAGATTACAGCAGTGGCAAGAAAACCTGCAACAATGGCAGCTCGAACAGCAAAATAAACAAGAGAGATTACAGCAGTTGTTGGAGGAAAAAGAAGAGAAACAAGAAGAACAAGAAACGAAAAAAGAAGAGAGACTATAGCAGTTGCTCTAGGAGAAAGAAAATGAACAAGAAGAAAGTCTCCAACAATTGGGAGAAAGCCAGAGTACACAAATGGAAAATATTAGTAAATTTCAAAGCGAATTAAATACATTAAAGAATGATTTACTATCTTTTACACAAAAAGGGTATATTAGCCATCGACCTAATCAGCCTCAGACAACGGGAAGCCTCTTCCAGACCCAGCAGCTAAACCCTAATGCAGTCATCTTCTGTCCTGTTAGAAGTCACATCCCAGATATGAATGTCAGCAATAGGGGTGGTCTAGTATGAAGGAAGCCACAGAAATTCGATGGGAAGGCACTGTGGGAAGCATATAGAGCACAATCTCAGCTCCTGGCAGAAATGGATGTATGGACAGAGGAGCAGAAAGCAGTATATCTGGCAACGAGCTTGAAGGGACAACCACTGGAAATACTTGGACAGTTGTCAGCAGATGACAGAAACAACAATAGAGCACTGGTAGCGGCTCTAGAACTCAGGTATGGAACCCAAAATCAGTCTGAAGTCTACAGAGCTAGGCTTAGGACGACAGTCCGTGCTAAAGGGGAGAGCCTGCAAGAACTGGCACAGGATTTGGGAAGTATGGCACACAAGGCCAACCCAACTGTGCCACCTGTTCTCCTCAAGTTGTTGCTGAGGGATCAGTTTGTAGATGCCCTGAACAGTCCACAACTGAAGATAGAAGTAAAGCAAGCTCAACCCTCTACTATGCAGGATGCAATGACCAGAGTTCTTGAATTCGAATCCTCTGTTAAGTTCAGCACAGGGGTACCAAGGTCGATACAGTCATCAGGATTCAAGGCCAG